AGGCGCGGCCGGGATGCACCTTGAGCGGCGCCTTTCGTTGCAGCGCGCGGGCGGCCCGAGCCTCGGCGGCAGCGGCGGCGACGGCGGCGGCGCTGACACCTCCCACCATGGACAGCTTCGACTTAGCCTTGCTCCAGGAATGGGACCTCGAGTCGCTGTGGTGAGTCCCTGTGCCGGCCGCCTGGGCACGCGGGAGTGGTGAGGGGCGGCCGCGGCGGCCCGCGCGCCCTTACCTGGGCGGGGGGCTCGGAGCGGCCGGCGGCCGTGGGGGTGGGGTGGGTCGGGGGCGCCCGCTCCGCCGGCTCCTTCCTGCCTCCCCCGCGTGGATGGACGGCCGCCTTCCCGTCTTCTTGCCCCCCTTTCCTGTCCTCTCGCCCGGTGCTGCCCGCCCCAGCCCAGGGGCTGGTGATCTGGGGAGCCGGGGGGCAGAGCGCAGCCATGGAGAGAAAAAGACCCGATTTCTAGAACGTGTCACTAGTGCCTGGGGATCCACCCCTCGGCCCCTAGACCCTCTCACCTCCCTTCGCTTCATTTGCGCCCTCCCTCTTCCCTAAGAGCCTCTGGTTCACACCAGCGACCCCCTGGAGTTGGTGCTGCTGCGAAGTGCCCTTAGAGGATGCTCCAGCCTCCTGCCTGGAGGCGCCGGGTCTGGGCGGCTACATCTTTTCTGTCTCCTACCCGCTCCCACCCGAGATGGAAAGTGAACACCGGGGACAGGGGGCGAGTGTTTCTCCATGCGGGAATTCCAGAGGCCTTGGCCCAGGGAGACTCATTTCCTCGAGGTTCACAATTCCTTCGGGCCCTTTCTTCACACCTCGCCACAGTTGTACTCCTCCTCCTCCTCCCCACCCCGGCGCCCCGCGTGTCCCTTTATTCCACGCTCATAGCTCGTAGCCTGGGGAGCGGACGGCCCGGGGAGCACTCCGGGATCTGTTGCTCCGCGTTCTCACGTTGAGGAGCTGCTGTAGGTAAATCGCCGCTAGAAGCAGTTTAATTCTCGCTGCGGGTTTCTTAAAAATCCCATTGGCTGCTTCGGCATCCCTCTTATTCCCCCCCCCCAACCCCCCCATCTCCTAAAATGTTTCCAACCAGCCTTATTCAGGTGGTTAAATTACTGCCCGTATATTCCTGGAGGAACTTGTGTTACGTTTAATATTTACGGGAATGAACATCTGCTGGAACAAGCATATTAACTGCACTCTGTTCTGCCTCTGGTAATTTTTTTTTTTTTTGCTTTAATTCAGTAAAGAGTTCACATGTGTCTAAAACTGCAAGTGGTGTGCACATGAATATGCAATGTACAGTTTTAAAGCTAAACTGCTTTAAGATTTATAGATTATATAGATGATATGTGGATTATTTCCAGTGACTTAGGCTTCTAGTGACTTTTATCTTTCTAAAGCCAGGTGTAACAAACTAAACTGGACACAAAGCTCTAGTACATTATTGAGCAGTTTCTTAAAAAAAAAAGGCGATGATGAGTAACTACGCCTTGCTCTGCATGATGCTGGTGCTTATAAAATACACAAAGATGGGCCCTGATGTAATAAAACCTTTATATATTACACTGGAAACTTCAAAGAGCCAGTGTAGAAAGAATATGAAAGATGTTATTACTCTATAAAAGTTGCTAATTACTGTCTTGTTGCTCCTGGGGTTATTTGAGTCTTTCATTTACAGATACCTATTATTTTATAGGTTTACGTTTAGAAATGTTGGTTTCTGGCTCAAATTTAATAGTTTTCTAGATAGAAACTGTGCTTTAAAAATGACTTTTGCTTTTAAAAGACAGTTTTTCAGTCAAAGGGAAGAACTTACTGCTTTGGCATGTTTTTATGGTGCTTGTCAGTTTGCTGATTCAAACTGAAGCCCCCTCATGACTTTTACAAGTAATATTTTGAAATTATCAGCTCTAATCTGTGGGCTTTCCCAGCACAGGATCTAAGCTTTATTTCCCTTTGCATCCTTAGTTGCCAAAATCCTCCGGGTTACCTGGAGCACAGTTGTACAATAAATGTCTTGTTGCATTGACTTAAAATTTACATTACCGACAGTACATTTATTCTTTTTTAAAAATGAAAAATATTAAGCATTTTTTAAAAATTGCTGTACATGCAATCAGCATTTAATCAGTGCATCATTTATCTTTGGCTTATGAAAATGTGCAGGCCTTCTTGCTTACAGTATAGTGGGACAGTTTGGCTTAACTGAGAGAGTGTTTCTAGTTTGCAGATGTAAAATTTACATTTTACAAAAGCTTATGTATTTCTGATAAGTTAAAGATAAACCGTATTTCTTGAGTATGCATTTCTAACATAGACATTTTCCCAGTTTATGGATGAATTTTTGCATATTTTCTAATTCAGTGTTATGGTTTATTTTTAAGTTTATAAGTGATCCAAAATAACTAGCATTTGAGTACTTTCTGTGTGTCAAATGTTTTCTTATCCATTTTTTTCTTATTTGAATCTCATAACAATCCTGGAGGTGGTAAGTAGTAGGAGTCTCATTTTATAGATAAGGAAATGGAGGCTTTGAATGGTAAAAGGACTCTATGAGACCATAAAACAAATGAGAGTAGAATTTTTTTAAAAGATTTTATTTATTTATTAGAGAGAGAGAGAGCACGCGTGCACAGGGCTGGGGGGAAGGACAGAGGGAGAGGGAAAAGCAGACTCCCACTGGGCAGGGAGCCCTATGTGGGGCTTGATCCCAGGATCCTGAGATTATGACCTGAGCCGAAGGCAGACACTCAACCAGCTGAGCCACCCAGGCACCCCGAGAGCAAAATTTTTAAACTAACATTGCCTGAACGCTTACCATTTACCAGGCACAGTTCTAAGTGCATTATATGTTTTAGCTCATTTAGCCCTCACAACAGCCTTAGGAAACATTATCTGTTACATTTACAGATTGGGAAATTGAGGGTGGGGAAGATCAGGTAACCTGCCCAAGGTCACACATCTAGAAATGGAGGAGCCATATTTGAACCAACCATTAACTTCTCAAAACTCAGTTTTCTGACTCTGAGTCCAGTGCATTTTCGACAGTACTGCAGATGTCTCCCAGTTTATGAGGGCATCTCTGAAGTTAATTATAAAACAAAACCTTGATGGACTGTAAGTTAAGGTTCTGTTAAAATACCAAAGAAAGAGAAGGTCAGAACCCTAAAAGATACTGATCTAAAATTAAAAATCTGAAAAAAAATACCATGATTTAGCAAACCATGCCTGCCCTACATGAGTTAATGATAAATATCTATAAATTTAAAATAAAGACCACTAAAAACTTATTGTTTTAATTTACCTTAGGAAAACATGTTTCTTTGGAGAGGGTGGGGAAAGGTACAGGTTAATGGCAAAGGAGAACGGTATTTTAATCCCCAATAGTTCTTTCCAGTTGGTAGGCACTGTTTTCCAAAAAAACAAATTGTGGTTTATTAGTTGTGACTGTGGCTTTGAACTAGAGCTAGCTTAGTCTAATGGTCACAGAAAGTGTCCCCAAATGACTGTATAGACAGTATGAAGAGAAAAGCTCGGTATTGTTGAAAAAATCAAGTAATTCAAGAACCATCTCCTCCACTTCCTTGCACCCGCCCCACCCCCACTCTGCCCAAACACCCATACTTATTTTTCAAAGGAGGCCTTCTGAGTCTAAATGGTCCAGATAGTTGTTTCAGCTTTTCCTTTCAGCCTTACTTAAAGTTGAAAAGGGTAATCCTAATTTCTACTTCTAATTTCACTTCCCGTTTCTGGCTTAAAGCAAGAGTTGAACTCTTGGAATAAGGTGAGGGCATTTATTCTGCACCCGGTTCCATAGCTTCATTGGGTAGAGTTGGATCCCAGAAGAGCTGGGGATTCAGTAAGTTTGCAGGGGCAGGTATCCCGAGGAACAGCACCTCTCGTCAACCTCCCACTCTCTTGCCATCTGCTCCTTCCAGTTCTCCACCAGCTTTTGATCAGCTGCTGGACATAGAAACCATTCCTCAGGGCCTTTAAAATAATGACCATCCCTTTTAACAGGCTAACCATTACTTTCATTTGTTCACTTAAATATTAATTGATAATCCTAAGTGTAAGACCTGGTGCTGATTGCTGTAAGTAGTACAAAGATGAGTAAACTGTGGGTTGTGCATGTGATTATCTAGTGGGGAATGAGATGAGTATACAAATAAAAAAGGAAGTTTTCAACACTGGCGATTCAGAAGAGAGAAGACCATATTTGGGACTGGGGTGGGTGGTAGCGGAGGGAAAGAGGAAAAATTGAGTTAAAAAAAAAAAAAAACTCTTCCATAGAAAAGGTGGCCTTTGAACCAAGCCTCGGAAGATGAATGGGATTTTTACAGATGGTGGGGGTCGGGGTATTGAGAGGACATAGAGGCATCTTGAGCAAAGAAAGAACTTGAACAAAGGCTTTCATGGTGTCTCTGAAAGATCTTTTATGAATCATGGTAGAATTACCTATACCAAGCATTTTAAAGATGCAGAACTTTTGTAATCAGTAGGTAGTTTCAGGGAATGGGAAAAGTTTTCCAAATGAACTTAGACAAAATTGTCTTTAATCTTCCTTATATATAAAACATTTTAGTTATTGGGGAGAAAGTCTATCAAAATACAATAGAAATACTCAGATTTCTCTCGCCGCAACCCCCATAGCTTCGCGTAAGCCAGAATCCATTTACTTTTGTTCAGATAGGCATTATACTTTATATTTTTTCAAATTGGAACCTTTGAAGTTGTGATAAATGGATTGTTTCATACTTATCAATTTGTTCATTCAGCAACAATTCATAGAGTATTAAGCATTACTATATGGTAGATACTATGGAACAGTGGCTTTCAGATGTTTTAGACCATGACTAATAGTAATAAATCATTTAACATTTAGACACTTTGTGGGTCCACATACATGTAACTGCAACATCTGTCACGAAGTAACACTTATCCTTACTATGTATGATGCACTTGGATATTTTCTATTCTGTTTCCATTCTATTTTCCATCTTCCCATGGGTTGAAAACTCCTTGCACCCCCATGTTCCTATGGGGGAGGGGGAGTGAAGCAGAAGCCACACTGGGGTGCTTCCCAGTAATACCTACTAACACATTTGGTCCTCTTCGAATCAAATGCCAGTGGAGATGCCCAGGCCATGGCTTCACT